ACAAAAATATAATATAATATACATTATAATATATATGTATGCATTATTATATATGAATAATATGAGTATATAATATATTCATATATTATATATGGATAATATTTACAATATATATATATATAAACTGTGTTTCCCCCAAAATAAGACACTGTCTTATATTTGTTTGGCCTCAAGAAGACGCACTATGGCTTTTTTTCAGATATCTTACTGTCCTGACTCCACCCTGACGCTGCGCACCTGTCCGCACGCCGCGCAGTGTCAGGACGCCCTCTTGGCATACACTCTGCGCCAAAAGGGCGCAAAAGAACCGTGGCGGTGGCGGCGGCGGCTCAAAGGCTGGCTCTTTGCCGCCCCTGACAGAACGGCTCAAAGGGCCCTCCTTTCAGGGGCGGCAAAGATGAGGATCATGGCCACAACCCTTTGAGCCACATCCGCGGCTCTTTTCTAGGCTGCCCCTGGGAGCAGCGGATCCACCGCTCCCAGGGGCAGCCCAGAAAAGAGTTACGACTGCGGCTCAAGGGTCGGCTCTTTGCCGCCCCCGAAAGGAGAGGCCCTTTGAGCCGCTCTTTTGGGGGCGGCAAAAAGGAGGATTGGGGTCACAGCCCTTTGAGCCCTGATCCACCGCCCCGTCTACATCATCCCTATGTCTTATTTTCAGGGTACGGCTTATATTGCGCAAATGCTTAGAAATCCTGCTATGCCTTATTTTATGGGTATGTCTTATTTTTGGGGGAACACGTTATTATATTATATTATATATAATAAATGTATATTATTATATAAATATGTTATTATTTATATATTATTATACATTTATATTATTATATAAATATTTATTACCCACCTCTTCCCATGGATCTTTAGAGCCTTGATGCAAACCCCAACTTGGTGGTTGTTACTGTTGCTTGAAGGGAGTCTTAGATCCAATCCACACTGCAGTAATAATCCAGTTTGAGACTGCTTTAACTGCCCTGGCTCAGTGGTTGGAGAACTGGAATTTGTAGTTTATTGTTTTACCAAAGTTCTCTGGTAGAGAAGGCTAAATGCCTCACAAAACTACAAATCCTAGAATTCCCCAGCATTGAGCCTTCAAGTGGTTTCCAACATGGAGCCCCTATCCTGTTTTATTGGTGGGATTTATTCAGAGGGGGTTTGCCATGGCCATCCTCTGAGGCTGAGAGAGTGTGACTTGTCCAGGGTCACCCAGTGGGTTTTCCTGTTCTCCAGAATCACAGTCCAACACACAAACCACTCCACCAGGCTGGCTCCTTTAGTCATTCCCAGCATCAAGAGTTGGTCATAATAATAAAGAGGAAAATAATCCCTCTGAGCATATGCAGAGTACTAACCTCCAAAGTACAGTAACCTCAGGCACGCCTATATTTTCCTTTGAAGTGACCCAGGCATCCCATGAAATGGTCTGGAGCCCTCGACATTAGAAATGTCAACATTTTCTCAATCCCAAAAATACTCCTCCTGCATCCCTTTAAATCTTTTGGGGGGCAGATATGGGAAGAGGAAAAGTCAGATGATAAGAGGAACCCCAGTCCTAAGATAAGCAGTTTTCTTGTTCCCGATAAGTACAAACTGCACATCCAACTCAAGCCAGTTTTTCCAACCACGGCCAGGAAATTTTCCTTTTCTATTGTTCAAAGTTCCTCCTTTTCTGAGAAACAGCCCTTTCCAAATTGCTGCCTTCCAGGTCTGTTGGGAGTGTAGCTCCCATCACCCCCAGGCTACACGGCCATTACAGCTTCTTATAGAAAAGAACATGCCCTTTTAAAGTAGTAATAATTTGTCCTAATGGCCACCTGATCTTGGCTTTTGAGCATCCAGGACATTTTCCACGCTATTGTTCAAAGTTTCTTCTTTTCTGAGATACCGCCCTCTCCAAATTGGTACCTCCAAGATCTGTTGGGAGTGCAGCTCCCATCATCCCCAGACATCACAGCCATTACGGCTTCTTATAGAAAGTACAGTGGTCCCTCCACATTCACTAGGGTTAGCAGCACAGGACCCCCTTGAAAATGGAGAAACCATAAATAACAAAAACACGTTTTTTACCTGAGAAAACACCTCTCTAGGTCAACATCTGCCAGACATTGACCATAGAATTGAACTGGAGGAGCTACAAATGTCGAGCGGAGTGTCTTCTCTAGGAATCTCTAGGCCCTTCAGTGCGACTTTTGGTTAAAGTTGACCATAAAGTTGCACTGGAGGACCTAGATATTCCTAGAGAGAATATAGTAATACAATCTGTGAATAATCAAATCTGCAAAAGTCAAATCCACAAATGTGGAGGGACAACAGTAATGTGCCTCTTTAAAGGAATAGTTATTTGTCCAAATTGGACACCCAGTCTTGGCTTTTGGTACAAATTTACACACGTAATTTAATAAGTGAACCACACAATTCCTACTCAAGTAGTTTCCAATTTATGGCAACCCCAAGGCGACCCCTTTCATGGGATTTTCTTGGCAAGATTTGTCCTGAGGTGGTTTACTATTGCCTTCCCCCTGAGGCTGAGAGCATGTGACTTGCCCAAGGTCACCCAGTAAAAAAGTAAAAAATAATGCCCCCCCCCCCGCCATATATAGGTTGGTTGTGGTTTTTAATCAATTTTTCTAAGTTTTTTTTAAAAGAGGTCTAGAGATTTTTCTTCTTTCTAAGTGAGATATTTTCTAGTGGTGGGCAGGATAACAACTGCTAAGATATTGATGGTTTGAAATGTATTTACAGCTTTATAAGGCCTTCCTCTTTAAAAACAAATTACTGTCAATATAATATATATAGTAGTATATACATAGTAGAGATATAGTAGTATATACATAGTAGAGAAGCCTCCACTCACAAATCTGTTGAGTAAGAGAAGAAACACCGGGTGACAAATGCTTTTTAAAATGCCCTCAAACAAGCATATATGTTTCATTTATCTACGTCGTTGTTGTGTGCCTTCGAATCCTTCCCAACATAAGCAACCGTAAGGCAACCCTATATGACAGGGTTTTCTGGGGCTGAGAGCATGTGACTTGCCCAAGGTCACCCAGTGGGTTTCCATGGCTGAGCAGGGAATCGAACCCTGGTCTCCAGAGCCATAGTCTAATGCTCAAACCACTACACCATGTTGGCTCACTTTTCTTTATCTGTAAGCCTCTGCAATTCCTTACTGCTTCTAAACATGACACTACTAAAGGGAAAGAGACTGGAAAATCAGTAGGAAAACCACCAAGATGAACTCTCAAAGGACGCTGAAATGAATAGAGCTTCATTCTGCTCAGGTGAATCCAACCCCATTTCTTCTGGGACCTTGTGGACGTGTGCCAAAACCAAAGCAGACTGGTAGACAACAATTTTATTTATGAATAAAAGTGGGCACGGAAAAAAGTTCATTCAGATTACAACTCCCAGAATCCTACAATAAAACTGCTGTTTGCATTCGTTATGGTAGCTGAAGAATTCTGAGAGTAACTATAAAAATGTCCAAAGCTTGTCCATTAATAGGACACATACGTATTCTGAGAGAGATACTAAGGCTTCAGTCTTATGGACCCTTATATGGAAAATGGCCTTTTAAACTCTGGGACTCATTTTTGAACAGATATGCTTAAAGGTTTGATGCAAATCAACTTTTT